GCGGGGTGGGGGGCTGCATCTCCAGTCATCTCCCCTCACCATCATTATGTCCCAGCCCTCAGCACAAGCTTGTCACTTTCTGTCTCTGAATTTGCCTGTTGGGCACTTCATAGAAATGGAATCATAAAATGTGTTCCTCTGGGTCTGGCTTCTTTCAGTAACATGAGGTGTGCAAGGTTCATCCACTGGGTCACATGTCAGTCAGTGTGTCAGTGTTTCATTCCTTAACTGATTTACTGTACATGTTTCATTTGTAACTGAGGAGATGTCACAGGTCCAGGACAAATAACTGACAGAGATTGTTTTGGCCCCAGTAAAGTGGCCCTTGGTGATTCAATAGCTATGGAAGTTCTAGATCCACTGAGAGGCACATTCTAGACAGCGGTATGTGGTCTAGCAGCTTGCATCAGCTCCCTGGCCTCCACAGGGCACAGCTGGCAGTCTGCTTGGCTCTGCCCACCTTTCTTCTGGGCCTTGGCCTATGCATTTGCTTCTCCCTCCACTTGGTTCTCATGGAGCAGAAGTTCCTGGGTGTGGAAATAGGACAATATTCCACATTTGACTTACCCCTTCCTCCACTGGCAGATGTTGGAGAGGTACTTATTTTTAGCTACTTCTAATAATGCTGCTGTGAACATTTGCGTAAGTGTTGTATGGATTAGGCTTTCCTGTTTTTGGAGACCAAATCACCACCATCACAGTTTGTCTTGTGTTTTCCACACTTTGGTCCCACAGAGATGCCTGTAGTGCATCAGTTCTGTTACAAACCTTCTGTGTGGATGAGGAAGTTTCACCTATTAGGATTACACAGAATGGACCTTCATCAAGCTCTAGAACAACAGCTCCTTATCTTTGCAGCATCTAGAGTCCCCTGTGGAAGAAGGGGCACTCTCTCAAATTAAGAGAGTGGACCCAATGGCTGGGGCTGTGTCTTAGTGGAGGAGTTAGTTCAGTTCAGCAGGCATGGGATCAAAGGTTCACGCTCCAACACTGTTTAAAAAAAAAAAAAAGAGGGGAGATGGAACTGGAGAGATGGCTCAGTGGTTAAGAACATTGACTGTTCTTGCAGAAGACCTGGGTTTGAATCCCAGCACCCACATGGCAGTTAACAACTTTCTGTAACTCTAGTTCCAGGGGATCCAACAGCCTCTTCTGCCCTCCTCAGGCATTGCACAACACGGGTGCACTTACTTACGTGCAGGCATAACACACATACACATAAAATAAAAATAATAAATAATTTTTTTTTTTAAAAAAAGGGGAGAAATTGATCAAGTTGTTCAGAACTCTGCCTAGGAATCTGGTATGTGGGAACCAGTGGCCAGATTGGCTGTGCACATCAAGGTCAGGTGAGGCCTTCCTTGTCCGAGCTGAACCACCTGCCAGGTGTGCTGAGCACCTGTGTGGAGGGGCAGCATGCTACAGCAAGGGTCAGCCAGGGCTCATAGCTGTGATGACCTCTGCATAGCTCTGACCAGCCCTGTCCCTCTGCACCTCATCTCTGCAACAGCCCCAAGCATAGGTGACACCAGTTTACATATCTGGGTCATTTGAGGACTGTATCCATCTCAATTTCTCTCTCCCTCCCTCTCTGTCTCCCGCCCTCTCTTCCTCCTTCTCCAGTCCCCCTCCGAATATTAGGTAAGTGCTGTACCATTAACTTCACCCGATCCCTTCTTTCTTTAACTATACAGTACAAAACACTTTAACAGTACGGAACACTCAATGCAGGAATGTATGGTTCTGGATTCAACATTTGTTCATTCAAATAAGATGTGCTGGGGTGCATGGGAAAGAGCTGTTAGCTCTTCCTGGGGAAGGCACAGAGGGCCTCAGAGAGATGTATTTGAGAAAAGTTTTGAAGAATGAATAGGAGTTTGCCATGTGGAGAAGAAAGCAAAGGGCCTTCTGACCAGGAAACAGTGTTTGTGAGAGCTGAAGAGCAGGAAGTTGTCAGGATGTAGGTAAAGTGTAGGTATGACAGGGAGGGAGTGGTGTGTGGTGAGGGCTGGGAAGGCAGATTAGGTATAAAAGATCAGAGTGACCTGAAGGTTTCAGCAGCAGAGTGCCTTGCTCAGTCAGACTTGTGCTTGCTCAGTCAGTCCAGGATTAGTGTCCTGGAGCAGCAAGAGGACTCAGTGGAAGAGAGACGCTGTACTCCACTCGGGCCAGCTGCTGACCTGTAAAGGCCAGTGAGGCCGGCAGAGGTAAGGTGAAGGAAGGGGAAGACAGTGAAGCGGGCTGTGTGTTCTCAGAGAGTCACTTCATCTTTCTGAGCCCCAATATCTACACCTCTAAAATGAGATAATCCAACAGCTATTTTCTCCTCTGTCTCTGACTGGAAGTTCCAAGCCTTCAATGGCGTAGCTCTCGGAGGAACCCTTGCCCTTCCCTGGTCTTTTGTTCCTACTGAGCAAAGGAGAAAGGGGGGTAGGCAGCTGGGGCCGGTGTGCCAGAGTCTCACATACCTGCCAGATTAAAAATGGAGCAGCACACATTCTGGTATGGTTGTCAGTCCAGGGAGGAAGATAGCACCCAAGGGTCCCTGAGACACCCTACACAGCCAAGGGTGGGGAGAGCAAGGCCTGGGACTTAGCCTAATGCTAGGCAAGGTTTACCCTGAAGAGGGCTTGTCCTCTCATGGCACTCCTGCCTGCCCTGCTTGACTTTCCACAGCACCACAGGCCCCCATTGCTAAGCTAGACCCTCTGGGCGGGTGCTGTAAGGGGGTAGTGTCTATCCGCCTTCATGCCAAGCCCAGCAGCCTGGCTTCAGGCTGCACATAACAGACCACTCTGGTGGCTGTGCTCCCCCTCCCTTCCCTGGGAGGGAAGCCTCCTGCTGTTCCAGGGACCAGAGCTCTCTACCCTGGAAGTCTCCCAGGGAGGGGCAGAGAGCAGACCATTTGGAGGAGACAACTGAATTTTGTAAACTGGACTTGAGGAATTTCCCTAGAAGCAGCACAATGTCCCCATTCTTTCCTTCCCTGGAGCCTTAACCCGCCTCCCACCTACCAGCCCACATTCCCTCTCCCACCCCTCCCAGCCCATCCCCTGCCCCATATTCTTGTGAGTGATGGCTACTTCCCAAGGTTCCACATTCCAAGTGTTGACCAAGCTAGTGTGCCCATGCTGTGACAAGTTGCTCAAGGGTCAGAGAGTGACAAACTAGCCTGTGTCTTCTGGGTTCAGCTGTGGGGCAGGGTCTCAAAGCCTTGCCTATCACTGTGGCTTACCTTAGACTCTCAGCATTCCTATTGAGGAGCGACCACTCCCCTCCACATCCCTCTTTAAATTGTGCATGGTGGGGTGCAAGTGTGTGTGAGTGTCTGTGGGAGTCAGAGAATAACCTCAGGTGTCATTCCTCAGGACTAGCCTCCGTGGTTTTTAACACAGGGTCTCACATTGGCATGGGGCTTGCCCAATTAGGGCAAGGCTAGCTGGCCAGAGAGTCCTAGGGACCCTCCTGTGTCCACTTTCCCAGTATTAGGATTCCAAGCTTATGCCAACACATCAGACTTTTTGATGTGGATTCTGGGGATGGAACTCTTGCTTGTGTGGCAAGCACTTTACCAACTGAGCCATCTTCCCAGCACTCCATCCTGCATCGCTTGTGCAGAAGACCTCAAACTGCATCCTTTTGTCTGGCTGTCCCTTCTGCTTGTGCCCACTTTTCCTAAGAGCGGTTTAGATTTTGGATCTGACAAGCCACAGTGGGACGGGGCAGGCACAACCTGTTTGTGTAGTGTGGTTGAGGCCCTACCTCCTGCACTTGGAGGGTGCTCCGGCTTTGGTAAAGGGAGGAGGAGAGAACTGGGCTGAGGTAACCCAAAGCCCTGTGGGTCCATATCCAGGTTCCCCTCCCTTCCCAGACATGGCCCTCCACCCACCTGGAGCATGGCTCCTATCTTTGCCCTGTCTACTGAAGGGGGGGCTGTGCTCTAGGCCCATGCCAGTCCCCCTCCGATGCCACAGCTGAGGGGTGCAGAGAAAGTACAGGCATTCTACCGGTGCAGCACTGCCTGGGCTCTGCGCTATAGGAGGCCCTGGTGCTGCACAGCCTGGAGGGGCCCCAGATACCCTGGTAGCCTTGCCCAGCTGCTTCCTCCAGCCAGAGTGTGAAGACCACTGGGTAGATAAGGTTTCATAGCAGGCAGACAGCTGCAGAGATTTCCTCTCACAAGGCGTGAGGGACAGGGGAGGGTGGCGTGCAAGGCCTTTGCTGGAACCTAGCCCAGCTCCTCCCAGCTCCTTCCGTCACTTCTGCCATTCTACCCTGGCTGTTGGGTCCCTCCCTTGTAGAATGCAAGCCAGCCCCCTTCCTGCATGGAAGGAACAAGGAGTATGGGGTCTGTGTGTGTGTGTGTACATGCATGCACACATGTGTGAATATAGGATCCCATCTTCACAGTGAGACCATAGCGCTTGTGTGTTAGTCAGCTTTCCATCCGTATGACAAACATACCTGAGATAACCAACTTATTAAAAGGAAAGGATCGTTTTGGTTCCTGGTTTAAGAGGTTTAAGCCCAGGCTTGCTTGGCCCTGTTGCTTTGGACTTGTGGATTTGGTATCTCATGGAGGAAATATGGCAAAGGACCATTCACTTTCATGGCAGCAAGGGCGTGGAGAGGCATAGAAAGTGGCTGAGACCCCGAAATCCCCTTCGGGGGTACAGCATCAATGACCTAACTTCCCCCCACTAGGCCCTACCACCTAAAGGTTCCACCACTCCCAAGAGCATCACAGACTGAGGACCAATCCCTCAATACATGGGTCTATGAAGACATTTCCAATCCAGACTGTAGCAAGGAATAGTCTGAGTGCCATGCCAGCTTCCTGAAAGAAGCTGTGGGTGCCATGTTTGGAGGGACTGTGGCCTATGCATGAGAGAGGCACTGTGCCTCTCTCCCCACTCTGCCTGCTGGAGCCACGTAGCTGCAGAGCTGAGTGTGGGGTGCTCTAACTCACTGATCTGTCCTCTCTCCTCTACCCCACATAGTTCCGTGGCCAGGTCAATTTACACGTGTTTGAAGACTGGTGTGGCAGCTCCATCCAACAGCTTAGGAAAAACCTACACTTCCCACTGTACCCCCACGTGAGTACCTGTGGGAATGCCTGCCCACTACTCTGAGCCATTTGCCTGTGCCTCACTCCTGTCTGATCTCACCTCCCTCCCTGCTTCTTATTGGTCCATATTATTTGCGTAGTCTCTTGGACCCACTTTTCCTCTACTCAGAATCTCTCTCTGTTCCCTTCCCAAAGACTCTTTCAGCCTTCCACTCTATCATTTCAGTTTAGGCTCTCTTGAAGACTCACAGTATAGTTTATCCAGGGCCAACATGTACAGATGTATGGGCTGTATACTGTACAAGGTCACCTGGACCAAGAAGTGAGTAGGAGCTGACATCTATCTAGCTTACACTCCACACACCATGCCACACTCTAGACCCGCCTCTCTTGCTCCCCTCCTGGTCTTCCCACCAACCTTGAATAGACCAAATTTCTTCTTCCTACTCTGAATAACAGTTCCTCTTTCTTGGCATAGATCCGCACAACCCTGAGGAAGCTGGCCGTGTCCCCCAAATGGACCAACTATGGCCTCCGCATCTTTGGCTATCTGCACCCCTTTACTGATGGTGAGGCAACCACAAAGCCCCATCCTCATTCCTGATTTTGAGTTATTCAGGGGTCCAGGAAACATAAGCCTGAGCTGGGAAATATACCTTCACTGAGCCCCTGTTGGTCCATCATCAAGGGAGAGGGGAAACTGAGGCATGGTGAACCTCTCATCCAGTGCCCTCAGGTTACTACCTCTCTTCTGCTTGCAGCTGGAATAGGCTGGTCTCCATAAGTCCTCTCTATCTTTGTTTGCTCCCCCAGAATGTAGAGGCCCCCTGTGCAGGGGTAGGGTTGGGGGGAGGGCACATTATGAGTGAAGAGGACTTAATGCTCAGTCATAATGCAGGCTTTCAGCTCCGTATGTGGGGCCGTACTCAACTCACCAGGACACTCTCCCATTGCTCAGGGAAAATCCAGTTTGCCATCTCTGCTGATGACAACGCAGAATTCTGGCTGAGCCGTGATGATCAGGTCTCAGGCCTTCAGCTGCTGGCCAGTGTGGGCAAGGTAGGGTCAGCTGGAGCTCTCCCACTGGCTCCAGGAGTCAGGTCACTGATGGGGCACCTGGGACTATCAGGAGTCACCATGATCATTAGCATACCTGCTGTGAAGTAAGGGCAGGAAAGTGCATGCTGTCCCTCAGCTGTGCCTTGTGCTGCAAAGGGATAAAGCTGAGGTGTGGGCAGAGTGGAGCATCAGGTTCCGAGCCTTGGGTGGGCAGTGACCAAGCCACTTAAATCTTTTGAGTTCTGTTGTCCCTTGACTCTAAGCTGGTTGACTGCAGGAAGTCGCCCACCTTAATAGGCAAATGTGTTAGCCAGAGATTCTGCTTAACTATTTTCTCTTTTACCTCTTTCTTCCTTTCTGCCCTGTTTTTTCTCCTGTTCTCTCTTCTCCCTCCCTATACTTCTAGACGGGAAAGGAATGGACTGCTCCTGGAGAGTTTGGGAAATTTCAGAGTCAAATTTCCAAACCAGTGAGGTGAGTAGGGAGGGTCATCACCAGCACTCTTGTGAGCCCCTTCAGTGCTGAGCCTATCAGTGTGAGATAGCCACAGCCAGGCAGGACACCTCCCCACCATGCCACCAGCCTGCTGCACAGGCTCGCTGGGCTTGGGCGTCCACACGTTCTGCCTAAACTGAAGCCACCTGGCCTGCCCTTCCTCATTTGAGATGAGAAGGAGACTGAAGCCCAGAGAAGTGTGACTTATGTGACTTATGGAAGGCCACACAGATACTGATATTCTAAGCTGGAAAACAGGTCTCCTTTCTCCCATTGTCCTTATCTTCCCATTCCTTTATCTCTAGAAATGCTCATACATGTAAAGCCTGGCTAACAGTTGCTGCAAGAGCTTGAGGGAGTCCCTACAGGGAACTACAAGAATGGTGGTGCAGTGATCCCTGGTACCCTGCTGGGAAAGCCAGACCTTAACTTAGTCCAGCTTCAGCCTGCCACCTGGTGGCCACACACTGACAGGCTCAAACCAGCACTGGCTAGAAGTTGGTGGGTAGACCTAGTTTGCAAAGAGCACTTGCTTGTTTCGTGCCAGCACTGCTGTGAGTACTCTAGAGTCCTCACGTTGTAGGCATGGACTCTAAAGCAAGGCTGCCTGGTCCAAAGTCCAGCCCCACCACTCACTACTTGAGTGACTTTGAGCAAATGATCAAGGATTTCCATGCCTCAGCAGACTCATTTACAGCCAACAAGTGAGCCAGTCAGTCTACATAAAGCACCAAGGATGGTCCTGGCATATGGCAACTGCTCACTATGTCTCAACCATGAGTGCTAGTTCACCCCACCCCCCCGCCATTTCCTGTGAACTACTTACATTTGGCCACCACAGAAAGAAAACCAAAGTCAGTGATCAGGGGTGGTGGGGGATGGTTAAATGGCAAGCTCCCAGGACTCTCCAGTCAGGGAGAATGGGGCACCAGGGAGCTTATGGGTGTGGGGGTGGACATAGGAAAAGCTCCTCTTTCCCTGTGTCCTTCCACCAGCCTGTCAGCCTCCCTCAGGTACTACTTTGAAGTCCTGCACAAGCAGAATGATGAGGGTACCGACCACGTGGAGGTTGCGGTGAGTCCACTACTTTTGTGCCTGCCCTGCCTCAGTTCCCAGCATTCCCTTCCCCTTGTCTCTTGAATGCTGTCCCAAATCCAGCCACATCCAACCACCATGCCCATCTCTTCTAGTGGCGTCGGAATGACCCTGGAGCCAAGTTCATCATCATTGACTCACCCTCCTTATCCCTCTTCACAAGTAAGTAGGCTCTGCCTGCCTGGAGGCAAGGCCAGAGGTGCCCTCAAGCAGGCTGGGCCCATAAGTAGGAATGTGGTCCAGGGTGAGGTGGGAGGGGTGAGGCTAAAGCTCAAGTTGAGCCTCGGACATGGGTGTGAAGGCAGCCCTGAGGAGCAGAGCCTATGGGACCTTACAGTCGGGGGCCTTCACTCTCCAGGGGTCCCTAAGAACCTGTTAGACACTAGGTGTGGTGGTTTTAGATCTGTAATCCAGTGCTAGGGAGATCTGTGGCATGGGGAATCACAAGTTTGAGGCAGCTTATGCTACATATGGAGACTTGAAAATAGAAAGCAAGAAAAGAGAGGGTAGAGGGTTATGGGGGTAGTGTGTTCAATGTACAGTATATACAAGTATGAAAGAAATTAAAAATATAATGCTAAATGCATTCAAACTATATTGTGTGAAAATTGCAAAAATTCAATTAATTTTTTTAACTTAGAAACTAATTCTGCTTAAGAACATAAAAATATAATGAAAAAATCATAAGCAAAAGAGAAAAAGAGCCTGTTAGACACTCTCTAAGCCTTTGCCTCTGAAAAATGCCCTTGCTTACCCATATACAACACTTTGAATACAACTTCAAGGGGATTCTGGGCCCATGAGGCTTAAAAGTTGATGAACGGGGGGTGGGAGGGTACTGGAGAGATGGCTCAGTGGTTAAGAGGACTGACTGCTTTTGCAGAGGACCCGAGTGTGAATCCCAGCACCCACATGGTGGCTAACAACCATCCATAACTGCAGTTCCAGGAGATCCCACACCATCTTCTGGCCTCTGGGGGTGTACTTACATACATGCAGGCATAACACTCATACACATAAAATAAAAATAAATAAATGAACAAAAATTATTTTAGAAGTGTCATTAGAATACACAGATTGTATATGAGTCAAGAAAACTACCCATAGCACAGTTCAGAATACCAGTGTGCCACGGGTGTAGAAAGAAGAGCTCTATCACATAATCTGGGACTGAAATTACGTGAACCCAGGAGGCAAAGGGTAAAGACAGGCAGTCAGCTCCCCTGGGGTTAGCCAAAGCTAGAGCAGGACTAAACATTTTATGTGACTCCAAGCATATAAATCTATAAGGTAGATAAATACATCAAACATTTACTGGTAATAAATCATAAAGAAATTTATTTTAAAATAATGCTTATATAATTTTACCTTTTATTAAAATGAAAACAAATTTGCACATTAATGAAATGGATGTGCCTTATTTTTACATAAAGAATTAACTCTTGGGGCTGGAAAGATGACTCAGTGGTTAAAAGCATCAGAGGACCCAAGTTTGGTTTCTAGTATTTATGTAGGGCAGCTCACAGCTACCTGTAATTCCAGCTCCAAGGGATCCGACCCTCCTCTTCTGGCCTCCACAGGTGTCCACATACATGACATTCACTCACACATAAACATAAATAAAATAATAAAAATAAATCTTTAAAAATTATCTTTAAAAATGAAATCTTAGGTTAATATTTGGTACTGTAGGATATAGAGCATATTGCAACTTTCATTTAAAAATAGTGTGTGTATGCTGGGCGTGGTGGTGCACGCCTTTAATCCCAGCACTTGGGAGGCAGAGGCAGGCGGATCTTTGTGAGTTCAAGGCCAGCCTGGTCTACATAGTGAGTTCCAGGACAGCTGGGGCTACAGGGAGACCCTGTCTCAAAAAAGACACACACACACACACACACAAAAATTGTGTATGTGTATGTACGCACACACAGAAACCAGAGAACATCTTATGTCCTGCTGTAGTACTTTCTTTTCAATAAGACAAATAAGAAAATACTGTCTTATTTTCTTGAGACAGGGACTCTCACTGAAACTGATTCTTGCTGTTTTGGCTGAACTGGCTGGCCAGTGATTCCTTGGATCCACCAGCCTCTGCTTCATAACACCAGGGCTAAGGTATTTGTGACCATGCCCAGGTTTTATGTGCTGGGGATGTGAACACAGGTCTTCATATTTGTGAAGTAAACACTCGCTGAACCATCTCCTCAGCCCCTTGATCAATATTTTGATTTTATAACTATCAAAGCTGAGAGTACCATTTTGCATAACTATGTAGTACAAAATACAGAAGTATATTTAGGGTCATTTTGGAAATTCTGTTCTAATTCCAATCTGGGATTCATTTAGCTTTTAAAGATAATCAATGCAAATGGAAACTTTTAAAAATCAGCATGCTAACACAATATAATCCAAAGATATGCTAATGTAACACTTCCATGTTGAAGAGTGATTGTAGGAAAATATGTGGTCTTTGTTTTCTTCTTTTTTGGTCATTTTGGGATAGGATCTCCTTGTAGCCCCAGCTGGCCTGGAATAGTCTTTGTTTTCTGTAATTAAGCCTTTATGTTTCTGTAAGAGCAGAAAACTTTGCATGTAAAAGCACCATCTCAAGGGGCTAGAGAGATGGCTCAGTGGTTAAAAGCACTGACTGCTCTTGCAGAGGACCTGTGTTCAATTCCTAGCACCTACATGGTGGCTAACAACCATCTGTAACTCCATTTCCAGGGGACCTAACGCTCCCTCTGACCTCTACAGGCATTGCACAACACAGGTGCACTTATGTACATGCAAGAAATATACTCATACACATAAAATAATAATAAAAAAATTAAAAACCCACCACCTCATAACATAGAGTAGTCTTGAATCTGAGCCAAGGTTTTCTGGTACATTCATTGATGTTGTAAGGCACGACAGCATGCATGGTGCAGAGTATGCATGTCGTATGTTCAGAACCAAGGCTGCAGTGAAGGTGTGTGGTGCAACAACAGGTAGTCGCTGCCAGAAACCTTTTGCTGTTGCCTCATTTTTATAACCCCACATTCAGTTATGCTACTCTGTGGGGTCTTGACCCACAGCTCAAGCTTTGGGCTAGAAAAGAGGAGTGGTAGTGTGAGTAGACGTGAGCAATAACAGAGTCTAGTCCCCAACCCCAGCTGAGGTGAACAATGCTGTAGTAAACAGGTAGTGCAGGAAGGAAGAGGCCGTGCAGTTCCATAGGTGCTGAGGGGAGCCTGGCCTGCGGGACTCACTGAGTCACTGAGGTTGGAACTAGGTCATCTCGTTATAATGTCTTTCCTACTCACCAGTGAGACCTTAGGTTCAATCTCTAGCACGGTCCAAAACCAAAAACCAAACTACAGTATTATATGTGTTTATTAGGTTGTATAATATGGTTGAATATAAAGTTCTGTCAGGTAAGCAGTAAAGTATTTTGAGGAAGAGGTTTCTTTTTCCAATTTATACAAAATTGTGTTGTGAACTGGCTATGGGGTGGACCTTAGCTAGCCCACAAGCTACGGAGGCCACCTAGAGGACAGAAGCACCAAGCACATCATAGACTGTCCTTGCTGGAATACAGAAGCCATGCTGGAGTCCCCCACTTGTCCCTCAAAGTGAGCTGGGATTCAGGCTCACAGCTTCCTTCTGCTCTCTCCTCCCTGGGCACAGATGAAACCATCCTAAGGATGGATGAGGTGGGCCACATCCCACAGACAGCAGCCAGCCACGTGGGCTCCTCTGACACTCATCCCAGGGATGAACAGCCTCCAGCTGACATGCTGCGGCCTGACCCTCGGGACACCCTCTACCGAGGTAAGTCCTTGGCCACATACTGGTCACTCCTTCTAGGGTCAGCACATGACAAGCCCTCAGGAGACTTGTCTATTCTACAATAGTCCTAAAGCCACAGAATCTTTTCTCCCTTTTAAGGATAAAACATACCAAAAAGTACAAAAATATTTATGTACAATTTTATAATTCTACAAATCATTATAGAGTGAAAATTTGTCTAACTACCATCCAGGACCAGAAATAGAATCAGAACCCAAAGTCCCCGTGCAGCCCACTGGACCACAAATATGAGTGTCTTTGGATTGAGCTCTTGTCATTCAGTGCGGACAGTATTGACTTTTGGGACCTTGAGCATGCTAAACATGTTCTCTGCCACCTAGTACATCCCTAGGTGGCAATATTTCCATTTTAAAGGTGACAGTGCCCCTGCCCATTTCCTCCCTCTGGGTTGGGGGGCCGTGGGGGTGTCAGTTGGTGGCACATGAATGGAGGTGTACTAAGGTGGAGCCTTGTGACCTCTTGGAAGTGTCCACTAGACCTTACTGAGCTTCTGTGTGGTAACACAAAGTTGTACTGTGCCTGTACCGTGAGTCCTATGCTAGCAGTGTGTTTCTTGAATGCCCCCACTTCTGAAGATTGGTGGCAGCCCCAGCTGATGGTGGCACGGATGCCACCAGTGAATACCAAAAGGAGGCTGCTCAGCCCTCCCCCTCAGCCAGGAGCCTTGTGCCCCTAAGGCTGTTATGCTCTCACACCCTCACACACTTCTCTTCCCTTTCTGTCCTCAGTGCCTCTGATCCCCAAGTCCCACCTGCGCCATGTCCTGCCTGATTGTGTCTACAAACCCAGCTACCTGGTGGATGGGCTTCCTCTGCAACGATACCAGGGCCTCCGCTTTGTAAGTCTCGGGCCTGGGCCAGGGGCAGGACTGGGAAGGAGGCTGCTGCCTTGGCTTGGTAGGGGTTGCTGAAGTTGGCTCCCTGTGCTTCCTAACCCCATCCCAGCAGACAAGATGGCATCTTAGATCCCTGGGCTGCATTCCTAGGTGGGCTCTGTAGAGCCTGCAAGTGAATGCTCTGCTTTGTGTGTTCCGCCTTCTCCCCCAGCTCTGTAGTCTGAAATCTCTGCTCCAAGGGCCACACAAACTCTGTCCTGCCTGCTCAGGCCCAGCAGCTGGGCAACCAGTGGCATTTTAACCTCACAGACAGGGCATATAGGAAAATGCACTGTGGGGGTGAAGTTTGTCCCTGTGGAGAGTGAAGGAGCAGAACAAAGATGGAGGGCTAGAGGTGAGAGGGAAGTGGTCAGGAGTCATTGCAGGAGAGGGTCAGGTGGCAGAAGGGAGAGGGAATGGTCTAGGTGACAGGGGGATGACCCAGGGAGCTTGACTCTGAGCTAGGTTTGCCCCAGAGATCGTTGGAAAGCAGGACTGGAGTCCTCATCTCTATAGTTCAATGTGGCATTCAGCACTCACAATACCCTGCCAGCCTCCAGAAGTAGGCTCAGCCCTGGCTGGCTGGTTCTTCCCCAGGACACTCCCTATTATGTCTGCCTCTATTTTTCCTACTTGCAGGTTCATCTGTCCTTTGTTTATCCTAATGACTATACCCGCCTGAGCCACATGGAGACCCATAATAAGTGCTTCTACCAAGGAGGTGCCTATGGCCAGGACAGGTGTGTGGGACTGAATGGGACAAGAAGAGGGCCTTGGGAGGGGTGGGGGAGCTCTATAAGGGTGAGGGAGCTGCCTAGGCTGGAGTGGCCATAGATGCCCTCCACACCAAGGAGTCCTTGCTTTTTCTGTGCTCTCCTTACACATGCATGTGTTCATACAACCTCACAGACGCACCCTTCCCTAGCCCTCTTTTCCACTCCAGCCCAGGTAGAGCTGTGGGGAAACTGGTGCCCATCCCCATGTCCCTTCCTCCTGCAGATCCAGCTTCCAGGAGTATATCAAGATGGATGAGCCAGAGAAGCAGGGCCTGCAGCAGCCAGGTAACAGAGGAACATGCTGGCTAAGGCTGCCAGGGCCAGCTAGATGGGTGGCTGTGGTCTCTTACTAGGAGGCATGCCTGCTATGCAGCCTTGCTCCTGAGTAGCTTAACATGCATATTCTGAGCCCCTCCCAACAATCAGGGAAGCAGAGAACAGCATTCCCACCTTCCATTCAGGTCCCTTTAGAAAATGATGCTTCTCAGCAGCACACTGGGGCAGTTGGAGATGTGGGTGGCTTTGGGATCTGCTATCCCAGGCACCCCACTGGGAAATGTTATAGAGAAGCCCTGTCTTCTTGATCTTTCTTCCTGTGGGATTTGGACATGATTGAGGCTATTTGTTGGGTCCTAAAAAACCCCAGATAGTTTCCAGGTCTATGAACTTTATCTCACTCAGCTTACTACTTGCTGTGAGAGGTGTGTGTGTGTGTGTGTGTGTGTGTGTGTGTGTGTGTGTGTGTGTTTTGTTTTGGTGTTTTTTTAAAGCCTTTTTTGTTGTTTTTATTTTTTGAGATAAAATCTTACTCTGTAGTCCAGGATAGCCTGGAACTTGCTATGTAGACCAGACTGGCCTTGAACTTGTAACAATCCTCCTCCCTCTACCTCCCCCGTGATGCAACTACCAAGCATACACCACAGTGCTGGCTGTTATAACTTTGATGTAGGTAAAACTGGGGATTACCAAGGTAGAGTAACTTGCCTGGGGTCACACAGGAAGAGGCTGAACCTGGAGCCTGTCTCCATCTGGATCCCCTTGGTGTGTCACATGTGTGGTCATCTTCTGTTTTGTCTCTTCTTGGGTGTGCTGGATATCTTCAGTTATCAACTTGACACATCTGGGTGGAGGGAACCTCAACTGAGGGATTTCCTCCACTGGAGTGGTATGTGGCCATGTCTATGGGGCATTTTCTTGATTGTTGGGTGATGCGAGAGGCCCCAGCCTATTGTGGCAGTGCCACCCCTGGGCAGTTGGTCCTGAGTTGAATAAGAAAACAAACTGAACATAGGCCAGGGGAGCAAGCCAGTAAGCAGCATACTTCCATGGCCTGTGCCACGTTCCCACCCTCAGGTCCTACTTTGGCTTCCCTCAGTGATGAACTGTGACCTGGGAGATGTAACATAAAATAAACCCTTTCCTCCCCAAGTTGATTTTGGTCAGTGTTTTTATCACAGCAATAGAAAGAAACTAAAACACTGGGAAAGGCTTAAACCTCCTGCAATGAGGAATGGTTATTATTAACAGGTTTTGAGGAGGACCTTCTAGAAGAATCTCAGTATGAAGACGTGGCAGAGGAGACCCCTGCCTCCCAAAACCAGGATACTAGGTCACAAGAGAGAAAACAAATGTCTACTTCCACCCCTGGGCTGGATGTCACTGACTACCACCCTCGAAGCCTGCGGAAGCTTCTGGCTCGCTCACACAGTGGCCTGTTGGCACCCTTTTCCAAGCAGAACTCCACAGTGCCCTTTCCAGGGAGGACAACTGACATCCCAGTCCAGGAGCCAGAGAGAAGGAAGAGAAAAACCAGCCCTGGGCCCAGCCAAGATTTGCCTCATCCTGACAAAGGGGCCCTGAAGCTCACAGAGTTGAAACTGTTTCGCATTCAGAGGCCCCGGCCCACTGGTGACAGTCCTGGGAAGACTCTTGAGCAGTCCCAGTGGCTGAATCAAGTGGAGTCCTACATTGCTAAGCAGAGAAGGGGTGACGAGATGGAGGCTCAGGCCCCCAAAAGGGGTTGGCATGAGGAAGAGGAAGTGGTGGCAGCTGCAGGCCAGGAAGGAGAAGTTGAGGGAGAGGAAGAGGGGGAAGAAGAAGAAGAGGAAGATATGAGTGAGTTCGAGTATGTACCTGTGTTTGACCCAGTGGTAAACTGGAGCCAGACCTTCAGTGCCCGAAACCTCGACTTCCAAGCCCAGAGGAGTGATTGGATCGACCTGAGCTGTAACACATCTGGCAACCTGCTGCTTCCAGAGCACGAGGCCCTGGAGGTCACACGGGTCTTCCTGAAAAAGCTCAGCCAGAGGACCCGGGGGTAAGGTAAAGGGCTCCCCTGGGGCTGAGGCAGGGGTGCATGGCAGTGCTGCCCTTATGGCCCTCAGCTGCGGGCTAGAAGCGGGGTCCTTGCTGCTGAAGCATTGGACCTGTGCCTCTACCCGAGGCTGTAAGGATGCGTGTCTGAGCCCTGACTGGAGCTGAACACTAGCCCGGCTTGGTAAACATGGCTTCTGCCCTTGGGGAAGGAGCTTGGGGAGAGACATGGGCAAAACTACCTGGAAATACAGTTCAGGCCTCAGATGAGAGTTAGAAGGGCTGGGGTATGAGGCATGACTAGAGTTCCTCCCTCCTTCCTTCCTCCCCTCTCTTCTCCTTCCCTCCCTCCCTTCCTTTGCCTGTTAATCCATTTAAGCAGTCAGCATTTTTTGAGAGAAAATTGAGGTACCATTAAAATCAGTGGGCTACAGTGGAGAGTGCACTGGTTTTCAAAGTCAGTTCAGCAGTGTTCAGCTTTCATTGGCATCTAATAATTCCAGAGTGTTTCCATCACCTGTGTGTTAATTGCATTCTTGTCCCCACACCTGCTAGGGTTTGAAGCCAGGACTTTACACATGCTAAGCAAGTGCTCTACCACTGAGCATCCCAGCCCTTTCTCTCTTTTCTCTCTTTTCTCTCTTTTCTCTCTTTTCTCTCTCTCTTTCTTTCTTTCTTTCTTTCTTTCTTTCTTTCTTTCTTTCTTTTGAGCTGGGTGTGGTGGCGTATGCCTTTAATCCCAGCACTCGGGAGGCAGAGGCAGGCAGATCTCTGTGAGTTCAAGGCCAGCCTGGTCTACATAGTGAGTTCCAGGACAGCTGGGGCTACAGGGAGACCCTGTCTCAAAAAGACTGAAAAAGTAATTTTTTTTTTACTTATTTTATGTGTAATGAGTGTTTTGCCTGTGTGTGTGTAAGTGCGCCACTTGAGTGCAATGCCAATGGAGGCCAGAAGAGAGTGTCGGATCCCCTAGAACTGGAGTTACATTTACTAGCTGCCATGTGGGTGCTGTGAACTGAACCCAGATCTCTCTCTCTTTCTCTCTCTCTTCCTTGCTCATCTTTTTAGACAGTGTTTCCCTGTGCAGCCCTAGCTGACTTGGAACTCCCTATGTAGATCAGCCTGGCCTTGAACTTGCAAAGATCTCCCTGACTCTGCCTCCCAAGTGCTGGGATTATAGACCTGGGGAAAGGGAAAGAAAAGAGAAGAAGGAAAGGGAAGGGAAGAAAAAGTAAGAAAAGGATAAAATTCTGCTAGTTATTTTGAAATAATCATTTCTTTCCACCATGGTTATCCTGCAATGCTATAAAACATTAGTCACTCCACTTATCCAAATCACCGCTGTACCTGCTAACTACTGTCTCCATTTCTCCTCCCCTTTGTTCTTTCCAGGGCTCTGCTAACCACTATCCTATTCTCTACTTTCACATGACATTTGCCTTTCTGTATTTGAATTACTTGCCCTCCAGTTCCATCAGTGTTTCTGTGAAAGGATTCCTTTTTTTAAGGCTGAATGATATTCCATTGTATATGTAAACAACATGTTCTTTACCCATTCACTCATGAATAAACACTTCGGTTTGATGTTTTGGCTGTTGTGGCTAGAGCTGCAGTGTACACGTGAGGGCAGATACTTCAACATACTGATTCTAATTCCTTTGGATACATACATGGGAGTGGGCTAGCTGGATCATATGGTAGCTCTAGTTCTAGTCTTATTAAAGTATTTCATTTATTGTTATTTTATGTGTATGAGTGTATTTTCTGCATGTATGTAAGTGCACCTGTGTTGTGCAATACCTGAGGTCAGGAGAAGGTGTTGGATTCCCTGGATCTGTAGTTAAGGATGGTTGCTAGCCACCACATGGGTGCTGGGATTTGAACCGGAGTCCTCTGCAAGAGCAGCCAGTGCCCTTAACTGCTGAGACATCTCTTCAGCCCCTAGTTCTAGTCTTTGGAGGAACCTCCAAACCTTTTTCTTTAATAGCAATACTAATTTATGTTCCTATCAATAAGTAAGAGAGTTCCCCTTTCTCTATATCCTCTCCAATGCCTGGTATTTTATTATTTTATTTAAGTCTTCTTGACAGTTGCAGAGGTAGAACAATGTCATTTTGATTTGCCTCTCCCTGACAACTGGTGATACTGAATATTTTTTATACCCGTGTTAGCCATTTTTTGTCTTGTTTTGGTTGGTTTTTAAAAAATTTTTTGCTTACTTTTATGTGTGTGTATGTGTGGTTACTTGTCTGTATGTGCACCACATGAGTGCAGGTGTCTGTGGAGGCCAGAAGGGGACATTGGATCTCCTGGAACTGGAGTTATAGGCAGTTTGTGAGCCACCATGTGGGTACTGAGAACTGAACCTGGGTCCTCTGAAAGAATAGCAAGTACTCTTAACTATTGAGTCATCTCTCCAGCCCCTTGTTTGGTTTTTTAAGACAAAGCCTCATTATGTTGCCCAGGCTGGCCTCAGATTTGTGGCGACCCTTCAGTCAGCTTCCTGAGTGATGAGATTACAGGCATGTGCCACTGGGCGTGGCTTGTTTTTGTTTTTTGATCTGTTTTTGTATGTTACTTTGGCTGACCTGGAACTCACTGTGTAGACTAGGCCTGCCTCCAATTTGTGAACAATCCTCTTGCTTCTGCCTCTCAAGAGCTAGACTTCAGGCATGCACCACCACACCTGGCTTCAGTCTAGCTATGTACCCATCGAGACCTGTAACTCATGCCTGGCTGTACATCCTAAGTATCCTCTTTTAAAAGATATGTATTCAAGGAGGAGGGTTGGGAAGTGGCATAGTGGGCAAGAACACTTGCTGCGCAAGCTTGAGGACCTGAGTTCGAATCGGACCTGAGTTTGAATCCTCAGTATCCACATAAAAGCTCTGCATGGCCACATATGCCTGCAGCCCTAGTGCTGGTCAATGGAAACGGATCTCATTATCTCACTGGCCAGCCAGCCTAGTCCAAACAGTGAGCTTCAGGCTCTGTGAGAGACCCTGTCTTAAGCAAATAAGGTGGAGAGCAATAGAGGAAGACACCTGACATATATAATGAGACCTGCCTGGTGTTTTGAGGCAGGGTCTCACTCTGTAGCCCTGAATGGCCTAGAACTCACTTTGTAGTAGTACAAGTGGCATTAATTCATAGAGATCCACTTGCCTCTGCTCTCAAGTGCTGGGATTAGAATCTTGTGCCACCATACTTTATGGGTCTTAAAGTAAAGGTTGTTGTTGAATTTCTTTTATATTCTGTTTATTAGTCCTTTGTAGGATGAACAGCTTGCAAATATTTTGTCTAATTCTGTAGTATCTTGCCATAATCTTATTTGTTCATTTTTGCTTTTGTTGCCTGTACTTTGAGGTTCATATTCAGAAACCTTTGCCTAGTATCCTGAAGCATCGCCTCTGTTTTCTTGTAGTGACATTATTTCTGACTCTAAATAGAAATATTGAAGCCTGACTCTCTTTGAGTTGATTTTCATGTGGTAAGAAATACAGGCATCGTTTTATTCTTCTACATATGCAGTTTTTTCCAGGACTCTTTCTAGGAGAGTCTGATCTCTAGACAGTGTATCCACATGCTGCCTTTGTTGCAGATCAGTTAGTTGTAAACACCTGGATTCATTTCCAGACCCACCAGTCTGTTTCATTGATCTAGGTATCTGTGGTTTGTTGTTTTGGCACACCCACGTTTGGTATGTATATGTTTAGGATTATACTATCCTTTTGGTGGGTTGTTCCCTTAATCAGTATGAAGTGACCTTTTTTTTTTTTTTGGGTTTTTTTGAGACAGGGCCTCCCTGTAGCCCCAACTGTCCTGGAACTCACTATGTAGACCAGGCTGGCCTTGAGCTCACAAAGATCCACCTGCCTCTGCCTCCGAGTGCTGGGATTAAAGGTGTGCGCCACCACGCCTGGCCTGAAGTGACCTTCTTTTTGTCCTCTGAATAGTTTTGGTTTGAAGTCTGTGCTGTCAGATCCTAGGAAAGTAACCCTTGCTGGTTTCCTAGTCCCATTTGCTTGGAAGACCTTTTCCCATTCTTTCACCCTAACAAAGTATCTTTATTTGATGGAGAAGTGTGTTTCTTGAAGGTGACAAATAGGTAGATCCTGTTTTTTAATCTATTCTGCTGGTCTCCTTCTTTTGATTGGGGAATTGAGGCCTTAAATATTCAGTTATTATTAAAAGGTGTGATCAATTCCTGTTATTTTGTTGACTTTTATCGATGAAGGTCAATTTCTGAAGAAACCTGTTCTCCGAGACCCTTTGGATACTAAGACTTAGGGCTGTAAAAGATCATCATGGCTCACTAGATACATTTTAATCAGGGAGTCTTAGGGTGGTTGTATATCTGTGTGAATCTCTTCAGCTAACCAGTGGTAACACTAGGACAAAAACTAGGTTCTCTTGACAACTGGGCCTCTGGACTTCTACCACACATCCTCCCACACAGTGTTACTCAAGCCCCCACCCTTCTGCCATAGAAGATATCAGCTACAGCGCATTGTGAATGTGGAGAAGCGCCGGGACCATCTACGTGGGGGTCGCTACCTCTTGGAACTTGAACTTCTGGAACGAGGTCAGCGCCTGGTACGGCTCTCTGAATATGTGTCCACACGAGGCTGGAAGGGCATCAATCCAGTTGATGGTGAGGAGACAGAGGCCCGGAACCTACAGGGCCTGGTCTGGAGTTCACACAGCCATGTCCTCAATGTGCAGAATTCAGAGCCTAAGCTATGTTGGCCCCAAGGTTTCTCCTGGAACCATCAAGCCATGGTCCACTTCATTGTGCCTGGTAAGCTTTGACAGGACAGGGTTCTGGTGACTACTGTGAGTACTGTGTCTGTTTTTCTGATTTGATCTCCCAAGAACTTGTGAGCAAGACCACTTTACCACTGAGGTATTGAGGTTCACAAAAGAAAAGAAATAAATTTAAAGTTGTGTGACTAGTAAATGTTAGAACTAAGATCAGATGCTGAATTATAGGCCAGGGCCGCTTCTTTCAGGCTAGGCTTCAGGGCTGGGTGCGATCATCAATGCGGGTTGTTGAAGGACTAGGAGGGAGGGTAATATATATAATGTGTCTTATTTTTATTATTTTTTGTGATGCTGGGGAATCAAATCCAGGGCCTGGCACAGGCTAGGTGAGGCACTGAACCACACCTCTGGTCCTAGAGTAGTCTTTACAATAAGAAAGGAAAACACATAAAAATGTGGAACAGTGGTGTAGGATGAGCAGGAAGGATGACAGTGAGATGGACAGATAGTAGGTCTGTTAGAGCTGGGCAGCGTTGCTGTGATTAGGTCGCCCAAGGCCTTCTCCTGGGTGCTTCCTGGGAAGTGTTTGTGGAGCAGAACTGTAGAGGTCCCTATAGCTGGTGAGCACCCTTCTTCAGGTCTCTGGGCTGCATGCCAATGACTCGTGTCAGGGTTGAGTGTAGATGCTCGCGTCTGCCTTACCTCTCTGTTCCTTTCTCCTTGCCTGACCTCCCTGAGTAGTGAAGAACCAGGCTCGCTGGGTACAGCAGTTCATCAGAGACATGGAGAACCTGTTCCAAGTCACTGGTGACCCACACTTCAACATCATTATCACAGACTATAGCAGTGAGGACATGGATGTCGAGATGGCGCTGAAGAGGTCCAGGCTTCGGAGGTGAGGAGGTCCTCTAGCTGTGGCTGCAGCTGGCCTGCCACCCTCCTGAAGTCCTAAGACTGCTAGTCCAGGGTGGAGCCTGATTTCCTAATTCCCAATCTCCAGACTTTTCTCCCTGCCTGTAACCCCATCCCAGGAACGCCCACTGTCTCTACTTTGTGCCTGCCAACTTCCTCTAGGGACCCTGCAATTGAATTCTAACACATCCTCCCCACCCCCACCCCTGTCTGACCCTCCTCTTCCTGCAGCTACCAGTACATGAAGTTAAGTGGAAACTTTGAGCGCTCCGCTGGACTTCAGGCTGGCATAGACCTGGTGAAGGTAATAGTTCTGAAGGAGCCTGGGAGGGTGACTGAAGGTTAGTTAAGAGACAGAGACATTGGGAAGTAGAAGATACTAAGCTTCTCAGCAAGGAAGGAACTGGGGACACAAAAGTATGCTTGCCAGCTTTCCATTACTGGAGTAAGAGATCCGATTTAGCTTAAAATAAATGTTGTGTGTTTACTTATTTATGGTGCTAGAGACTGAACCCAAGGCCTTGTGCATGCTAGGCAAGCACAGTACCACTGAGCTACACCCCCAGCTCTAAGGAAAGGCTCATTTAGCTCGTGGGTCCAGTCCATTGTCACTTGATCCTGCTTTATTTTTTGGGCCTGTGGTGAAGGAGTACATCATGGTAGGGAACATAGGGCAAAGAGAATTGCTCACCTAGTAGCAGCCAGGAAGTGAAAGAGAAAGGGGCCAGGATCCCAATGACCTGACTTTTTCCCACTAGCTCCTAAAGGTTCCACTAGCTCCCAGTAGCACCACAGGCTGGAGAACAAGCCTTTATCACACAGGCCTTTGAGGAATACTTTCAAACTATAGCAAGGAGAATCCTTGTTGCTACATTTCAGACCCAGCACCACAGTGGGACACAGCAAATAACAATGGAACATTTGCTCAATTGTTGGAATCCTGAGTCTATAAAACGTGAGACAAAGGTCAGGTATTATGCCTGTCGTCCCAGCACTCAGAAGGCTTGAGGCAGGAAGATCATAAATCTGAAGCCAGCCTAGACTACATAGTAAATTCCAGACCAGTCTGGGCAAAATAATGAGACTCTGCCTCAGAAGAAGGAAAGAAAAAGTGGGAGAGGAGCCTGAGTTCACCGTGTGATGTCAGGACTGTGCCCTGCTACCCAGTGCTGTGGAAATTTGCCCCATGTTCAGCTTTGTGGTACGTTGTCACATGGTAGGGAAGAGACTGAGGATTCCTCTAGAGAGTGGCCCTATCTCCCAGCTCTGGTCCAGAGATCCTGTTGACTTTGCATTCTCTGTCTCCAGGACCCACACAGCATCATCTTCCTCTGTGACCTGCACATCCACTTCCCAGCAGGAGTCATCGATACCATCCGGAAACACTGTGTGGAGGGCAAGATGGCCTTTGCCCCTATGGTGATGCGGCTACATTGTGGGGCTACCCCCCAGTGGCCTGAGGGTGAGTCCTGCCCTGGATGAGGGAGGAGGCCTTGGTGTTTAACACCAAGGGTAGAAAAATTTGTCTTAGCATCAGCATCTTCTTTCCCCATCCTGTCTTCCTATCTTCTCTGAGCTCTGCACAGTCCATCAGGGAAGAGTCCAGACTGTGCCAAAAGCCACAGCAGCAGGCACAGCAGTGACACTTTCCCCACCCTCCCCAGCATGCAGTCACCAAACATTCATGAAGCATACATACTGTGTGCTGGGTGCTTTGTCCATGAAGACAGGAAGGTGGAGAGGAAATAGCCAAGAAAACTGAGTCACAGCTGCCGGAAGGGCTGCTGCGGTCACATCCTGACTGTAGGGCTTTCATCAGTTTGTGGTCACTGCTGAGTTTGCTGAACCCTAAGCCTTGGTTAAGGTGCTCCCCCCAAGCGGTCCAGAAACCTGCTTAGCTGACAGTTTTCAGTCTCAGCCTCCCTGTTCTGCACCTTCCAGAAGAGCCTATGGGAGCGTGACATTCTACAGTCCTCCCCCTGCCCCTGGTTCATCTCACCAGAATGTCTTATCTGTCCACAGGCTACTGGGAAGTAAATGGGTTTGGACTGCTTGGCATCTACAAGTCGGACCTGGACAAGATTGGGGGCATGAACACCGAGGAGTTCCGGGACCGCTGGGGCGGGGAAGACTGGGAGCTGCTGGACAGGTGACACAGGAGGAGGCCTCCAGGGATCTGCTGGAGTTCTATCCCAAGGGGCTCTAAGGAGGGAACTGGGCCAGTGCCCAGAGCTGTGCCTCTTGGCTGCAGATTCCAGGGCACAAGAAAGTGTACTGAGATCTGGGAACTCAGCAGGCAATTGACTTCACTGACACTCAAGCCATGTATCCAGCAGAGGGGGATGATTACTTCTGCTGTTGTATCACAAGGCTGGCGTGGCAGTTTGAGTGGTTGGAAAATTGTCAGAGACAAAGCAGAAACTGGAGTTAAACAATGAAAACGATACTGTTCTCAGGACCAGGTAGGGAGCCCTGGCAAACAGGAGTATGTTCTCCCCAGCCAGGCCTCCCACTCTTCCCCACTTGGAAGAGAGGCTGAAGCTATGAGGAGACAGGTCAAGGGGCAAGAGTGACTTGGGAGCCAGCAGAATGGACCATTAAATGACACCTAGATGTCCAGGGGGGTCCGAGTCCCTGGAGGCCAAGAAGGAAGGAGTTTAGGGAAGAAGTAATAGCCTCAGAGAAGGAGAGGCTGGATGTCAAGCTCAGGGAAGAGCACTTGCTAAGAATGAATGAAGCCTTTTGTTCAATCTCCAGTCCTAAAGAAAAACAATATACATTATTAGTTATTCTTGTCCCCCCTGCGACAGAGTACCCAACTGAAGCAACCTAGGGGAAAAAGGGCTTACCCCTGAGTTTCATAGCAGAGAAGGCACGTGGCCTTCACGGAGGCAAGAACTCCTATCTTGCACAGACCAGGAAGCAGAAAGAGAAGCTTGGGCTATCACCCTATGTCCAGATAGTCCCCATGTCCAGAAGGTTCTACAAGCTCACACATACACACCATTAGTATTCTTAGCCTGGTATGGTGGCATAGACCTGAAATCTCAGCACTAGGGAGGCTGGAGACAGGAGGACAGCCACAAGTTCAGGACCAGCCTGGGCTTGATTAACAAAACCCTGTCTCAAAAAAACCAACCCTCCTTCCCCCCAAAAAAAGAAAAGGGAGAAGAGGGGGACAACAGTAGAGATGCTGGACTTGGCAGGTAGACCAGAAGAATGTTTTACAAGGAGCAAGGTTGTGCAGGGCACCAGTCTGCAGGTGGGAGGAACCTGCTATAGTGAGAATATTTTCCCTGTGTGTGTGTGTGTGTGTGTGTGTGTGTGTGATTTCTCTTTCAAGAACTTTGCTCCCAAGAGAAGAGGAAGGAAGAGGATGCCACCTTGAGACTTGAGCCTAAGGGAGTGTCCTACTTGCTTTCTATTGCTGTGATAAAACACTGACTAAAAGCAACTTAGGGAAAGAAAGGGTTTATTCTACCTTCTCTCATGGAGGGAAGCCAAGGCAGGAACTCAGGGCAGGAACCTGGAGGCAGGAACTGAAACACAGACCATGAAGGAGGCTGCTTACTGGCTTGCTCCCCGAGCCTGTGTTCGGTCTGTTTTCTTATCCAACTCAGGACCACTTGCTCAGGGGTGGCAATATCCACAATGGGCTAGGACCTTCCATTCAATAATCAAGAAAATGCTTCACATATATGCCCACAGTCCAGTCTGATAGAGGAAATTCCCTGGTTGAGGTTCCCTCTTCCCAGGTATGTCAAGTTGACAACTAAACTTATCCAACACAGGGAGGAGGGGAAAGAAAGGTTATAACTACCAGAAGAGTCCACAGGAGGTAGAGGGACAAGATCAGGAGCACCAGGGGACACATACTGCTTCCCCAGAGAGAGAAGGCACCAACTTTTGAGTTCCCATACTTGGCAGGTGATTCATGCCCATGACCTCATTTATTCTCTCCAGACTCCTTTGCTTGGTGCAGTTATCTCCATTTTTCAGAGGAGAAAAACTGAGTCATGAAAAGTAGTTAATTACTTGTCCCTTCTTGTTCTTTCTCAGTAAAGCATCAAAGGCCTAAAAAGCAGACCTCTTTATGATTTTTCCCCTGGAGGGAAGAAAAAAAAGGAAGAATAGTAAAATACTAAAAATTAAAGGTGGGATGCTACGAAGTTCAGAGAACTTGTGTCCTAGGAAGCCAGATTACAGTCCCCAAAGCAGTGGGAGCCCGGTATAACAGTTACTGTCACATGTGACTTTTATACTGGACTTGGTGCTTTGATGTAGACTTCCAGAATAGTTCTTAATCCTCCTGCTGTTTTGGAGGCCCAAAGAGAAAGAAACTGCTTGTAGTCCTGAAGTATAGGCTGCTTTATGAGTGGGACCCCCTGTGGGTAGGCTGTGCATATGGAGAGACCTTGCCTAGCATGTGAGAGCTGGATTTGATCCCCAGCACTGCAAGAAAAAAAGCCAGGTGTGGTGACACATGCCTGTAATCCCAGTATGCAAGAGGCTGAGGCAGGAGAATCTTGAGTTAGAGGCCTGGGTTACCTAACAAGGTGATCCCCCCCCCAACCAAAAGGAACAGGGGAAAGTCTGGATGGCTTCTCCAGGTCCAGTCCCCTGCCTCCACAAGCTACTGTAATGGAACTGCAGTAACTGAGCAGTTGGTATGTGCCAGGAACTGTGCTGAGTGTTATAAATCCATCATCGCGTGCGCGCGTGTGTGTGTGTGTGTGTGTGTGTGTGTGTGTGTGTGTGTGTTGTGGGAGGTCTATAAAGACATTATAAAATTATTGTCCTCATCTAGAGATAGGGAACAGTCTTTTATTCACATGAGTTTCCAAGTCACAGAGCTGGGATTGCAGCCCCAGGCTGACTGGCTCTACTGCACTTGCTTTGCCCCATGGGAAGTGACCAGAGGAGGGAAAGCGGGGTCTGACGCCAATGAGTAAGGGTGGGTTCCTCATGGGCCCTGGCTGTTCCCAGGTGCTTGCTGGATGCATACTGCTGGTTCATGCTGCCTTCTCTCCTCCAGGATCCTCCAAGCAGGCCTGGAAGTGGAGCGGCTCTCGCTCAGGAGCTTCTTCCACCACTTCCATTCCAAGCGAGGCATGTGGAACCGCCGCCAAATGAGGATGCGGTGATCCCCAGGGACAGCTTCTTACAGCTTCTTGGCTGACAGTTGCTCTCAGGTGCCCTGTTCGCCACTGGAGGAGGGAGTGTGGGGAGCAGAGGCCTCAGCACGAATTGCCCTCTCCACCAGGAGCTGTCCCTCCAGGCAGGGACCGGTGCCAAGGCTCCTTGACCGCTCGTTCATTTGACAGATGGAAGGGCTCCAGAGGATGCTCAGTGAGGTTAGGAAGAGAAGACCTGCTGAGTAATCCTATCCTTGTCCACAAAGGTGCATTCCAGCAGCCCTGGTGCTCCTGACAAGGAGTGCTGACCATGAACTGGAAACTTCAGCTGGACAAATTTTATTTGGTTGGGAGGGAGTACTTTTTTAACAGAAAACCAAAACTGCTGTCTAGACCCAGTGCTGACTGAGGGGTGAAGTTGTGCACTGCAGACCTCAGACCCACTTGTATATAAAGGTGCATCCCTTGGGCACTGTTCCTTTCTGAGGTGCGGGTCCCACGTGGAGAACTTCCAGCCCAGGTTCGTGCCTTCCAAACATGCACATCTCTCCTGGTGGGGCATTAACGTAACGTCTCTGAGTAGAGGGAACTTCAGACCGGAAGCCCAGAACTGGTGGCATTTTGCTGCAGTAGGGTATTGGGAGATGGAAATTGGTAGGCACTGGGCCCATCCTCCCAAGTGGCCTTGCCTTCCTGCAGAGGGAGCCCCAGCCGCCTGGCCCTGAAGGGAAGAAGAGTAAGAGTAAGGTGAACCCTAGACCTGACCATTGAATAAGGGACAGAGTGAGGTGTAGGAAGGCAAAGGAGAAACTGAAAGATGGTTAGTTTCAGGGACAACAGCCCTTGGTCTTTTCTATGGCCACCCTTCTGTCACCTGATGTCACATACTTACCTTGCACTAATGATCCCAGTGCTTTCCTGGCTGGGGACTTTTCTACTGCTGCTGCTGAATTCACCAGTAGTGCATTGAATGCTGGGTCTTGAACTCAGAGTCTGTGGAGGGAGGTTAGCACAGGGCTTCTCTGCTGTGAGAAGGGGCTTGTGGCTGTGCAGCAGGGCCCAGAGGCCACTCCACAGAGCCTGACCACCATGTGGAGTTGCAGGTTCCATCTGTTGGGCCTTTCAAGTGCCTGGAACAGAGCTTGGCTCACAGCATGTGACACAGAGCCCTCTGGGTGGTAGGGAGTCCCTGTCTTCCTCTAAGCAATCAGGAGGACAGGGTGGTTCTGTTAGTGGCCTGTGACTTCTGGGCTCTGCTCAGGCCTTTTGCCCTCTAGAAAGGGCACATAGGAAGTTGTCTTGGGACAACTGGGTAGTTGGGGTGCTGGGTTTCTTTCTAGGGTCACAAACCAGTCCCAGCAGCCCTCCTGTTCCAACTTATGAGGACTAGGAATCATCCAGTCCTTCCCCACCCTGCCCCCTCCCCCTCCCATTCTAGTGCCTTGTGTTTGATGTACCTCCTCACCATCTGCCTTAAGGGGAAGGTCCTGCCTTGGCCTCTACTCTGTAGGGATATGCTGGGTGGGGGGAGGGCAGAGGAAAGCATTAAATACAGTGTCTTAGAAAACAAATGACTGTTTTCCTGTTGCCCATTCATGGTAGGAAGGGTCAAGTGGAAGAGCCAAGGAATCACATCCCTGTCCTTCAGCTGTCTGCCCCTCATAGACAGGCTAAGGATTGTGTCCAGCACCCTCTGCCCTTACTCCTAGCTTGGTATTTGCTGATAGAAAGAACAGACTTCTCTGCTGTGGCGGTCTCTGGAAGGGCCTGGCATTGTCCTGTCCAAGGGTCTCATCTCATAGCAGACCAGGCTAGTGGAGGTAGTGCTCTTGGCTAGATCAGTGTTGCTCACATTTGTAATCCCAGCCCTTGGGACACTGAGGGAGAAAGATCAGGTGTGCAAGACCAGCCTGGGCTACTTGGTAAGACTCTCTCAAAATAAATATTTTTTTTTTTTGGTCTTTTTGAGACAGGGTCTCCCTGTAGCCCCAGCTGTCCTGGAACTCACTATGTAGACCAGGCTGGCCTTGAACTCACAGAGATCCACCTGCCTCTGCCTCCCGAGTGCTGGGACTAAAGGCATGAGCCACCATGCCCGGCAAAATAAATATTTTAAAAATCATTTCTGCTTGAGCTGAAGATGCTCTGTTGTACTTCACAGGTACAAGTTGAGCTTCCAAGTTATATTTGGCCTAGGCAATTAAAAGAATTTTTTTGTTTTTGTTTATTTTAAGGGACAAGGTCTTGCTATGAAGCCCATGAACTCATTATCCTTCTGACAGCCTCTTGGGTGCTGGGATTACAAGTGTATACCACCACACCCAACTTAAAATTTGTATTCCTTTTTTTAAAAATTAGATTTATTCATTTATTATGTATGTATACACATACACGTGGGTACATATGCCACAACACTTATGTGGAGGTCAGCAGACACCTTTGGGGAAGTTGGTTCTTTCCTACCATATGGATTCTGGGAGTTGAACTCAGGCTGTCAGAGTTGGTGGCAAGTACCTTTACACTCTGAATCATCTTGTCAGCCCCAAATTTTTAATCTGAAAACACATCTAGCCAGGTGTGGTGGCGCATGCCTTTAATCCCAGCACTCGGGAGGCAGAGGCAGGTAGATCTCTGTGAGTTTAAGGCCAGCCTGGTCTACATAGTGAGTTCCAGGACAGCTGGGGCTACAGGGAGACCCTGTCTCAAAAAACAAACAAACAAACAAACAAAAAAACACATCTAAGAGACACCATTGGTGTAAAAACTAGACTAGGTTTCTAGTAGAATCTTAAAACGACGTGTGGGGCTGGAGAGGTGGAGGACTGGCTGTTCTTGCAGAGGACCTTGGTTTGGTGGCTAACAACCATCTGTAACTCCAATTCCAGGGGATCCAACACCCTCTCTGGCCTCTTCAGGCTTTGCACACATGGGTGTACATATACACATGCAGGCAAAATACACATAAAATAAAAACTAAAAATGCTCATGTGTGTAGTCATCGACCCAAAACTGAGGGATCCATCATGTTTGACGTACCGAAGACAAGTTCTTTTCAGGACACCGATAAAAGGGCATCCACACACCAGCCTGGATTGAGAGCCTTTATGACTAAAGACAGCAAGAATGACTCACTGGATTTTCAGAGATCTTTATAAACAGCCAGATTCCCATTTTACAGAAGGGGAAAAGTGAGGACTGGAGCAGCAGGAAAGAGTGCAGTGGAATGAGAACCAGAGTGTGTAGGCTGTGCAAACTCGGCCTTAGCAGACTGAACTACTGCTGCTGGAGAAAAGACTGGCTGTCCAGTCTGAACTCGTCTCCAGAGGCAAATGCAAATCATGCCAACCAGTAAAATATCACAGCTTAATTCGGGTGCTGCAGGCAGGAAGCAGAGGCCTCTCCATGGCCCTTGAAGCTCTCCTGGAAAGTGCCTGGTAGCCTGGGAGGTCAGAGACAAAAGGGGCTGATTCCAGATCTGGCTCCTGTAGGGAAGTAGATCAGAGGCAATGGGCTTACTCCTTGGACTGGATTTGCACCCAGCCCACCAGGTGATGTTAAAAATGTGGGATTCAGCAGCTCTGGAGTGGGGTCTGAAATGCCTTTTCCAGCCATCTCCCAGGTCACTGGATACTATTGCTGGCTCATATAATCTGAGTAGCAGGTACTGCAAGACAACACCAAGGAGAAATGCCACATCTGCATCTTGCCAGCAGGCCAGAGCCAGCCACTAACCACACTGGGCTGCCACCCCATCCCAAACTGGGGGAAACTTTTGCCTACAAACTGGCTGTTTTGGCACACCTGTAATCCCAACACTTGAAAGGTGAAGGCAGGAGGATCAGGAATTCAAGGTCATCCTCAGGTACATGATACCCTGCCTAAACACAAAAACAAAAGAACTGAAGGATAGTTACCCCCTTTAGAGCAAAGGGCTCAGGGTAGGCTCATGGAGTCCCTGTGCCAACTGTTCAGAGACCCCTTGGTCCTTAAGCCTACAGGCCTTCCCACTTACTCCAATCCCCAGAGGTAGAGAAGGGCCAGTGGGGGGCTCTAGCACCTGAGGCCTCTTGGCGTCTACCTCACCTGGGTCTAGGCTGGGATTAAACAGGATTACTCAAGGTCCTGGTAGCCAGGAAGCCTGTCTTGTGTGCGCCAAAGGCAGTGATAAAAATATTGATAACCACAGTGATGAAGATCAGGATGGTGGCAGCATTGTTGAGCTGGTTTAGTTGCCACTGGTTTTCTACCTCATTCAGATTCAGCCGTGCTGTTGGGAAGAGGAGAGTCTGGGTGAGGGTCACTAGAGTGGGGCTGCAGCCTGGAGTATTCCTTCCTAAACTCACTAGTTTGGAGAGAACCTGGCTTTGGAGACCTACAGGGAAGAAACCAAGATGGTAGTCAATGGGCTAAAATGACTTTGGGAACATCCTTATGCTGTTTCATAGAATGGGAATTGAGAACTAAAATACTCTTCTAAAGATGTGTTTGCTCACAGTAAAAAAGGCTATAAGGAACTCTGCCACTAGTTAGTGGGGACAGTCAGCATCTGTCAAGGAGTGCCGACCCATGAGACACAGGGATATAGGACAGGCAGCACCCTGCTAGTGAAGGAGCTATAACTTGGACTTTTGGGTTAGCCTATGGCTGGGAAGTTTCTTGTGCAATGCAAGGGTCTTTCCCACCACCAGGGGGCGCCGAGGCAAAAAGCCTGATTCCAGGCTGGGTTCCTCACCAATGACCACCAGGAGGATTCCAATGATCACTTGCAGGAGCAGAGAGATGCTGATGAGGGTGATGAGGACTGTGTAGTACTGAGAGAACGGCCCCTGCTCCAGCACCGCTTTCAGCCGCGTGGCGTTGGACATAAAGAGTGCCACATCCAGCATACTCTCGGCCACACTCTTCTTGGTGGCATAATGGTTCAGGTTGATGGGCTGGTTCCCTCTGGGGCTGGAGTGGTCTCGCTGTAAGGGAGGAAGCATAGGACTTACCTAGAAAGCTGTGGAAAGGAGGCTGTGGGAGACTGGAAATAAGACAAAGACTTTAATGCCCTTCCCAAAGGACGTGAGACTGTCCAGTGATGCCCTCCCAGCTCAGTTTATGGCCTGGAGCCAATCAAGGGTTGGATAGATGAGCAGGTAGCTGGACCACTAGATGAATGGATAAACGGATGAAACCTATAAGGCCCTCTGAGCTCTGAGACGCTGCCATTGTGATATCTGCTTCAGGGAGAGCCACCTTCCTTCACACTTTCATGTATCCATCTGAAGAAAGGCAGAAGAGCCGAGGCCAGAGTGTAACGGAAATGATGCTTACTCCAGAATGACTGCCCCCACTCCAGTCAGCACCTAGACCAAGAGCCCTGGAGGCTCAGCCCCACTCCAGCACACACTGTCAAACACAAGCTATTAGAAAAATCACATACACAACAATACATACTAGTTGAAAACTCTTAATGGATTAAAATAATATATTCTAGCCAGGTGTAGTGGCACATGCCTGTAGTCCCAGCACTCGGGAGGCAGAGACAGGAGGATCTCTGTGAGTTCAAGGCCAGCCTGGTCTATACAGTGAGTTCCAGGACAGCTGGGGCTACAGGGAGACTCTGTCTCAAAAAGGCCAAAAAAAAAAAAAATCTGGAGGATTAGGGGCATTGTCCATTGGTACAGTGCTTGCCTAACATGCCCAAGGCTCTAAGTTCAATTCCCAACACTGCCAAAATAAATTTTATTTTAAAAATTATTTTAAAATTAAAATTATTTTGATGTATAAAATAAAATGCTCTCCCCAAACCATTAACTCCAAAAGATGAAATCACAATGTAAGGCATGAGTCTTGTAGTTAGACCATGAAATTCAGACAGGATGCTGCAGGCAATCTGTAGTCACTCAAGAGCACTTGGGAGATTAATTTGGCAATGGTACTTGGGATATATTGAGCCAGGAGAGATCAGAAGCAGACTCATTTAAAGATTAGGATCTTGCAGGGTATGATGGTGGCCACCTGTAATCCCAGCACTCTGAAGGCAGAGGTAAGAGGATCAGGAGTTTGGAGCTAGCATGGACTTCATGAGACCCTGTCTCATGACACAAACTAAGGGCCGGTGAGATGAGCTCAGAAGGTAAAGGCTCTTTCCTTCAAGTCTGACAACCTGAGTTCAGCCTTCAGGATCCACATGGTGGAAGGGAAGAACCCATTCCTGCAAGTCATTCTCTCACCTCCACACACGTGCCCTTCCCAATAAAATGCAATAAAACTTTTTAAAAACCAAAATAAATATATTAAATTAATGAATGCAGATTATGATTTTGAGTGCCAGACATGGTGGCTCATAACTATAATCTTAGCATTTGGGAGGCACGAAGATTTCCATAATTTTGAGGCCAGTCTGGACTACATAGTAAGACCCTGTGATCTTTTTAATTTTTATGTGCATAAGTGTATTGCCTGCATGTGAGTGCACCCATGTCATGCAATGCCAAAGAGGTCAGAAGAGGGCGTCAGATTCCCTGGAACTGGAGTTAAGGACAGTTCGTAACTGCCATGTGGGTGCTGGGAATCGAACCTGGGTCCTCTGCAAGAGCAGTCAGTGCTCTTAACCACTGAGCCATCTCTCCAGCCCCGACCCTGTGATCTTTTTTAAAAATATTTTATTATTTTATGTGTATGAGTATACAGTCTGCATGTATGTAAGTGCACCTGTGTTGTCCAATGCCTGAGGAGGTCAGAAGAAGGCATTGGATCCCCTGGAACTGGCATTATAGGTGATTGTTAGCCACCATTTGGGTGCTGGGAATCGAACCTGGGTCCTCTGCAAGAGCAATCAGTGCTCTTAACCACTGAGTCATCTCTCCAGCCCCTGTGAAATAATTTTTAAAAATTATTTCATGTGTATGAGTGTATTTCCTGCATGTATGTAAGCGTACCCATGTCATGCAATGCCTGTGGAGGTCAGAAGAGGGTGTTGGATCCCGAACTGGAGTTACAGACAGTTGTTAGCTGCCATGTGGGTGCTGGGAATCAAACCCAAGTCCCTTTGCAAGAACAACCAGTGCTCTTAACCACTGAGCCATCTCATCATCCAACCCTGTAATCTTGAGTGAGGGTCAGTGTGACAAGGAACTGGAGCGATGAGGAAGGGAAGGAAAGACTTTAAAGGCTGCTACAACTTGGAAGTAGGGAAACTGACCCAGAAGATCACTACAAGAAATAGGTAAACAGTTGAGTGGATGAATGAGTGTATGGGGCTGTGTGTGGGTGGATGAGTGTGGGTGCATGGATGACTGTGGTGGGTGGGTGGGTGGATGAGTATGTGGGTGGATGGGTGAGTGTGTGGGGAGGTGTGGGGGGTAGATGAGTATGAGGGTGTATGGGTGAGTGTGAGGGGGGCTGTTGGGGGGTGTGGGTGTTTGGGTGGGTGGGTTAGTGGGGGGGTGAGTGGGGGGGTAGATGAGTGGGTGGGTGAGTGGGTGGGGATGTGGGGAGATGAGGAGGG